CGACGACGGACAAAAGGCGATCGCAATAGGTCACTTGAGACTTTGTCTCAGGTGACCTAAAAACAAAAACCCAAGACATAAAACAAAATAGAAATGTCATCGGTTCTAATTACTTATATATAAAAAGTATTGCGGAATTATTTTTGATACTAGAAAGTTCAGATATTGAAAAAACAAACATCGTGCATACAGGCAATATTAAAACAGAGTATGTATGTGTACCTACCTTGTCCTCGATTATCACACTGAAGTCGCATGTACTTTCCTCCAAAATAACAAACAACCAATGACGAGGTTAGTTCGAGCATTTATTAACCGAGATCATCCAGTAAATCATCACAATGGCAAATCATTCTTATTTGGGTAGAAGTCATTTTTACCAGCTCAAAAAGACATGTTTTAAAACAAAAGATGACAAATTAGGGTTAAATCTACGACTGAGTGAAAAAATACACTGTTGGCTTGTCATTCATTTATTGATGAATTGATTTTTTCCCCTCAAAAACAAATAAACGGAAAAATCAATATTTGTTTCGCATTTAAAGATATGTCAACGTTAGAGCTAAGAAAACTGGGTTACATTTCATTTTCATGACAATCCCAGCTAACATTATCAACACAAAAATTTGGATAGTGTTATCTTATGAATCAGATGAGACTTACATCAATACAATGTAGATTGTTTTTTTCAAAGTAATGGATCGTTTGTAAAATTTGTCAAATGAGCATTCAAGTGAGATAATGGATCAAGGCAATACAACCTGAACCCGTTAGAAGGTAAATGTAAATGTATATAATAAATCGTGTATTCACGTACAATGTATTACAACACAACGCATCAGTTACACATGCGCAGATAATCCGTCGTCAAGGAAGTTAACTCTCTGTCTAAATCATGTCAGATGCAATAAGCACACGTACATATCTCTGGATCAAAATAAAAGAATCAATGATGTGTCGGTAGTTTTATTGAAATGTTTGATTAGAAAGGATTGGCAGGCACTTTCGTTGGATTAAAAAAATCCGAGCACGTATTCGGGGTCAGTTTCGATAGCTCAAATGTCGGCTGGCACTGCTGTAATGCGTCTCTATCTTCACACATTAAGTTTAAATACCTCGGGCTGGCGAGGGTTATCAGCGGATACCAGAGGAAACGGAAGTAAAATGTAGCCGTTTGTTCATTCATAGCTCGTGTATAGATTTTCTTCCATTGAATCACTGCCAACCGACACGAGATAAACTGACCGCCAGTATATCAGAGAACTTTCGTGTTGCTGTCAATAAATTCGTCATTCAGAGATCATTTATGAATCACTTCCCCAAGTCATTGAATTATCTACACTCAAACGTGTCTGATTTTTCTACTGCAAATAGCATTACTAGTAAACAGTATAGTATATAAAGTATATCTCTATGAAAACTCGTTTATCTAAAGGTCGATATCATAACTAATTACGTAAAACCAGCCTAAGTTACATAACAAGTACACATGGGGGAAAAAACACCAATGTAGATAATGTGTTTTCCCTTCACATCAGTTCCCATGTTTTGGAGACAGGAAACGTCATTGTAAAAGAAGTATAATCTCCACTGGGGTCCTTGTAAAACATAGCCGTCATCACACGCTTCTTTACAAAAGATATAACCCAATCATATGGGTTCAACAGATTAAATATAGATAAACATCATCTGATATGTCAAAATGTGAAAATCAACAAAGTACATCAACACGTCACGGCCGCTATTTCACGTCAGTGCCCGACACTGGTACGTCATTGCGAAATAGTGAGTGTGGTCCGTGACGGTCTCAATATCACGTGACCGCCATGTCATAGACGTATCATCACATCGGCGTCATCAGACGCGTCATTACTAGGTGACGTCATTGGCATGGTATTGGCTCCCCGTGCCCGACAATACGGCAGGTACACGTGCACGTATTAACATGTTATTATTGTGTAATATATATATATAAGCACTTAAAGATTAAAACATCTCCATTAATTTCTTCACATTACTAACTCTCTTACTTACCCTGACGGACACGACATCAGGGCTTACGGATGCCAGACATATTATTATGGACGGATTGCCACCGAGCCGACGGGGTATGACGTCAATTGTTCATATTTACGCCCAAATGCATTGGTATTGACATTAACATACATTTTCCGCATATATGACATTCCATATGACTTCATAGATGTAATGTTGATTTGTTTCGGTCGGTGTCTGACAGCATTTTTTTTTTTTATCTTTAAATGTACGAGATGGTTGTACTGTTTCAAGACGGGGACAATTTCTCAAGAACAAATTCCATTATTCAAATTAAGGGCAACCGTAAAAAAGTAAATACAAAGGAGTAAACTGCAACTGCAGAAATCTGCATGATGTGACGTCATAACCGGAAAAGACCCGTCGAACTACGCCAGTGGCAATCGGTCGACATGGTAGTCCGAATATCCTTTGACTGAAGACGTATAAGCGTACCTAACTGGCGCTTAGAAAACTCTAATTTGGCTGAGGCAAGTTAATGGCGGAAAGCAATTTGCTGGTTTCTTTCATGTCGAGTTGGCTATATATTGTTAGGGCACATCTGAATTTTAAACAAAGGTTTGATTTCAAATGCATGTGCATACGTTAGCGTTATTTTCATTTTTCTTTGCTTTGACTTTAAATTGACAGCTTGGAATTGTTTCAAAAGGCGGGGAAGTGGTGACGAGAATTCTTCACGCCCGCGTCTCGTGGATCCTAGGAAAGCCGATTGGTACATTTACTGTCTTATGTTTTTCTTCACTCGCTAATGCAAATTTACAAAATTACAAAAAATCTTCCTAATCCACAGCTGTGAGTTAAAGAAAAAAATATGTTTGTGACACCTGTCGGCTTCCGTACAGGATCCGCCCCGAACGTGTTTTGGATATTCGGACTTTTAAATATCACAGGGGCCGGACACACAAGACGTGTGAAGCGTATATAATTGTACAACTCACAAAACCTCTATGTACGGAAAGTCTGTTACACGGAGTACTGATCGACATTGTATACGTCGTTAACTGTTACCGACACAGTGACTGTTATTAGTACATATCATATACCACACGACAGATGTACAACACCTGACACACATCTCGTACTCCTATACATGCATACATGTCCTGATGGGCTTCAACATCTCGTGTACTTTGATGTTTACAGTTTGTATAAAGGATGGACATGTGCCTTGTTCGCATGCTATAGTCATTTTTGCGTTCGATATTGCAAACTCTAATGGCAATATTTTTCACTCTTCATTTGATACATAATGCAATTCATTTGATGTTACAACTTTCCCTTATGCATGCCCTATCACAGCTAATTGTTCGTTGGCATGGCATAAACGATAAACGAAAAACATGTTTTCAGTGCAAAAATACAATTACTATTTCATAAAGGTCAGATACTGAACAACACTGTTCCGGGAGAAACGATCACTCAGTACCACAGGGACTTGAATGTTTTGACTTCTCTTCCCCATAAAGTTATAAAAAAAGAACAACGCCACCTAGTGTGGACTCCACAAATATACCAGATATAACCTTGTTCAATCCCGATCAGTTTAGAAGGAAGAGACGAATCAATTCAAGACCCTGTGCTCACAGTCTCCCATACCATCAACATATAGCAGATCATGTATGGCTGTTTTACATATTTTGATTATAATAAAAATAGTTTATACCTGAGAGTGATGGAAAAAGGTATTACGAATTACTATGAGAATGTAAATATATCGTCAATTTTCCAAATGGCCTTAATAACACATAGCAAAATCTACATAATATCTAAATATCACAAGCTCTGTTAAACACATTATTAAATACAAACTAATGTTTCCATAAAATATAAATTAACACAGCAAAAACGTAAGTCAACATAAATATATATATAAAGCGGCATGAAATTTGTTAGAATCTTATAAACACACACCATTGATGTATGCGAAAGAAAATACTCAAATATGATACTTCATAGGTCAGTCAATGCTTGTATTAAAATAGTCATTTTTAACCCAGTGTTATTGTGTACATATATATGTATTGTCTGGCCATCTGGTTTTCCTAGACAAACTTTGAAAACAAATGTTATTCAATACACATAAAGTAAAAATTTAACATAAAATGATAATAGATAGTTAAAAACATTATCAAACAGTTTTAAACACTGATATGGATTATGCCTAGTCAAAAAAGGTAAGTCTGTCAAGGTAAGTAAAAGATGGAATTAGGAAGATGTTTTTGTCTATTGTGCAAAATACCC